GACATTTGAAACATTTGGGATATTTAAAACATTTGGGACATTTGAAACATTTGGGATATTTAAAACATTTGGGATATTTGAAATATTTAGGATTTTTGAGATATTTAAGATATTTGAAATATTTAGGATATTTGAAATATTTGAAATATGTGGTACATTTGAAACATTTGTGACATTTAGGATATTTGAAATATTTAGGATATTTCAAACATTTGGGATATTTAAAATATTTAGGATAATTGAAATGTTTGGGATATTTGAAATGTTTGGGATATTGAAAACATTTGGGATATTGAAATATTTAGGATTTTTGAAACATTTGGGATGTTTGAAATATTAAGGATATTTGAAATATTTAGTATATTTGAACTCTTAGGATATTTGAAATATTTGGGACATTTGAAACATTTTGGACATTTGAAATATTTGGGATATTTGAAATATTTGGGACATTTGAAATATTTGGGACATTTGAAACATTTGGGACATTTGAAATATTTAGGATGTTTGAAATATTTAGGATATTTGAAATATTTGAAACATTTGGGACATTTGAAACATTTGGGACATTTGAAATATTTAGGATATTTAAAACATTTGGGACATTTGAAACATTTGGGATATTTAAAACATTCGGGATATTTGAAATATTTAGGATATTTGAAATATTTAAGATACTTGAAATATTTAGGATATTTGAAATATTTGAAATATTGGGGACATTTGAAATATTTGTGACATTTAGGAGTTTTGAAATATTTAGGAGATTTCAATCATTTGGGATATTTGAAATATTTAGGATGATTGAAATGTTTGGGATATTTGAAACATTTGGGATATTTGAAATATTTAGGATATTTGAAATATTTAGGATTTTTTGAAATATTTGAAAAATTTGGGACATTTGAAATATTTGTGACATGTAGGATATTTGAAAAATTTAGGATATTTGAAACATTTGGAATTTTTGAAACATTTGGGATATTTGAAAAATTGCGATTGTTCAGCTTTTGTTCAAAAAGAGCTACCCGCCAATAGGGGCCGGCAGGCTTCGAACAGCTTTCGTGGGTGGCTCTTTTTTGAAAAGTGAGGCTTTTTTGTGCTTTTTTGAGTATTTTGCTACTATTTTCTGTTTTTTGTTATATCGCTATTTTTTTTATTTGTATTTATTTTATTTTCATTCATTGTTTTGTTTTATTTTCATTTATTACTC